GATTAGTAATTTGCTAAATAATAAAGATTAATAACTTGACTATCTTTTGGTTGGATTTGTGGAACACTTATTCCATTTATCTGCTTAGTTATTTTTTGCCCAGTGCCATGTAGTTTTGATGCTGTCTGCTTTATAAATTTTAATTGAGAGACCACCTTCATTAACCTTTTTTTCAGCCTGCTTCATGTATTTCCCATTTATTTTTACCTATAAACTTCATTATCATCTTACTAAATTCTATAAATAAATCCCTTAGAATTTGATAGGCATTATATTGATTAAGTACATGAAGTATCTTGGAGAATATTGTCATTTTTATTTTATTACTCAGACCTATTTATGAACAGTACTTATTTAGGTCTTCTTTTAATTCGTCACTATAGTTTTATCGTTATCCAAACATAAGCCATATGTTTCTAGGTCAATTGCCAGATATACGATAACCAAATTTTAGTTGGAAGGGACCTCAAAGGCCATCTCTTTCGAGGAATAAAAAGAATTCTTACTCCAGTAGTACAACATATAGGACAAGTAGTCATCCAGATTCTGCTTGAAAACTTCTAGTGAAGGGGAATGAATCCACTATCTACTGGGGCAACCCTATTATTACTCTTTAGAACAGCTCTGATTGTTAGGCACTTTATTGTTGTTGTAAATTTGCATCTTTTCAGCTTCTACCCATTGTGCCTAGTTTCTAATCTCTGGAGCCACCAGAGCAGTCTAATGCCTCTTCCACATGACATCCTTTCAAATACTTGAAGACAGTTAACATGTTTCCCCTGAGATTTTTCTCCCTTAGTCTAAACATCTCTAGTGTCTTCAGATGATCCTTTCCAGCTTATCATTGTCCTTCAAGGCCTCTGATATACAAAGCCGCAAACGGAACTTCAGTTGTGGTCTGACCAAAGCAGAGTACAGGGGAACAATCACCTTCTTATTCCTGGAAATAAAACACTTAATGCAGTCCAAAATTACATTCTTTTATTATCCTTGAAAGTACCAAATCTTTGTTCTTTGTAATTTATGGCCATACGGATTATAGGAGCATAGATTTAGAGCTAGAAAGGACCTCAGAGGCCATTAAATCTATTCCCCATCCCTTCATTTTATAAATGAAGAAACTGAGACACAGAAATTACTTTGTTAGGGTCAAAAGCTTTTAAGTGTTTGAGACAGGAGTTGAACCCCAGGTCTTCCTGATTCCAGGTGCAGTGCCTTGGATCAGTCTTAGAAAGTTGTCTGTGCTGAAAAGTTGTGATTTTCATCTGTGGTCATGTGGCCAATATGTGACAAGTCTTTATGATTCCAAGGCTGGACCTCTATTCTTTTGTCTTAACTTCCTCTCAAGTTTCTAATAAATACGTTAAGTTTTTAGAAGTATTGTAGTTTTTGAAAATTAGTTAATACTATTTTAGGATTATAGGAATGATTTAGGGATGTGTATGAAGAGAATCCTGCCAGTTAGAGATGTAGGAAAGAGGAAAAGGGAAGTCAGTGACCTAAAATAGATAATCTTTTGTGAGCTTCTATAAACTATACTACTGTGCTAGTGGGTATAACAGGTAATTTGGCGAGGTTTACATTCTTTCCCTTCACAGCATTTATCTTTTAAATGCCCTTTTCCAGTTTGGGATCCATATCTAGCCACTGGAATTTATTACCATCTAGTGGCAGAAAGTGGAATTTTTTCCCCTGGATTATTCTCTGACATGATAGGCTCTGTTAGGACAGGAAAGAATGACTTTAAGCTTAACAAATTTTTTTTAGGAACCTGATGTTCCTGGATTCAGGCAATCTTACTGGAACTTTGTTTCTCCTTATAATTAAAATTAAAATTCTGCAGCTACAGTGATAACACTGTTACTATCACACTATCTTGACTGGAAGACTTCCATTGAAATGCCAATGTTCAAATTGACAGCCTGGAATTTTCTTTCCTTTAGAAAGAATTGTCAATTTAGATGAGATGTACTGGTAGTACCCAGGGAGGGCAGTGTGAGTCAGAGAATGGGGCTGATCCAAAAAATAAGGTTGAGGAACAAGATTGGGTCCTTCCCAAGTAGGGGATGAAGTAGACAACATAGAATGCTTAATTAGTTATGTTTAGCTTTAGATAGTATGGGGACTCTGTCCCAAGTTAATCTAGCTTTTGTTTTAGTGATTTGAGAAGGGAATAAAATGGGAGAGAAGCAGAAATTATGCAAATACATTCAAATGGATCTGTGGGCTCATGGATTTGGATGTTTGCTTAAATGATACAGCTGAAAGCCATCCATGTCAACTTGTTCTGTGGATCTCTTGTCCATATCCTTCCATAAATTCACACAGGGGGTCCACCCAACATACATAAAGCCCTTCACTTGAGCTCTCAACTTATCATTCCTTACCCTTGCTAAAACCAGTTCATTTTCTCTTCCTCTCATACTTTACGCAGATAATATCTTTTACTCTTGTTCTTTGAAATTTCTTCTTGGTTATTTTATAGGCTGCTTTATACATCTTTCTGTTGCCCTGGGAGCTCTCTTTTCTTCCCTTTGTCTCACATCGCCTAGCATTGTTCCCCACTGTCTCCTTTTCTCTAGTCTTTGATGAAATGACCCTTCTTACTGACCAACCTTTCCAAATTTTCCCTTAATCCTGTGCCCTCCTGTTTTTTTTTCCTCTAGGTGATTTCCCTTACTAATATTCTTTCTCCCAAGATAAAAGGATTGATGCAGACAGAAGATATGCTACACAAAGAATATATATCTGGTTCCTGGTTGGGCCTGATCAAGGATTCGAGTGTTTTAATACTCAACAGGGGCTGAAATATTATTTCATTTTTTTTCTCTGATAGTTCCATGACACAGGGGAGTAGGTAGGGCCTCCATATATGGCAGTGGGTTCCACATTGAGACCTCCAAGTTCAGTCCTTGGGTACTCAGTGATAAGTAAGAGCTGCAGCATGAAAGATACAACCTCCATGATATCTTAGAGTAAGGCAGCTTCCAAATCCCATTCAGGAAGATGGGCCAGGGTTAGAACCACTCTTCCACCTTCTTGTAACTAGTGATAAAGAAGAGAAGAGGAGGAAGACACAGATTTAGATCTTAATGGGTTTTAGAAGTCATCTAGTCCAATCTCCTTATTTTACAGGTGAGAAAACTAAAGCCCGGATCACATAGATAATAAGTAATAAAGGTGGGATTCAAACCCAGGCTCCAAATCCAGAGTTGTTTTCCACTATGCCATTAAAATATTTGCTGTTAGTAGAAGTATTATTGTGACATAGGAGTAAGCAGTCTCCTCTTTCAGCTTAGTTTAGGGAAAATGAGTTTTGGTTTATGAAATCCTCTTGGCCCAGACTCTGGGCTTTTGCCAAGGAGCCTCTACCTATCTAGGTGAAGTAATAAAGGTACAGAAAAGAAGCAAGAGCTAAGGAATTACTAGTGGACCTCACCTACCTTAGTACTTGGTGGTAATGGACTGCTGTTGGAGTTCAGCTTTCTTGTGAAGCAAGAAGGGAACATTCTAAACTGAACAGATAGGGGCTATTGACACGCACTCTATTTTTGACAGCTCCACCCCTATTCCTGACCATGTTATACCTTCAGGTATGCTTCCCTATCTTGTACCCTTTGCAATTGTCTTACATTATGCTACTATGTACTATACTAATTAACCTTGACTGCCATTTACATCATTATTCATGTTTTAGGTTCCATAGTTTACTCCCTTTTATCCTGCCATTTTGGTTGTATTTCTTTGATCTTAAAATCTTTGAGGTCTTAAAAAGCCTATTTGTTAAGAAGCAGAATCCCCTGGGGCGAGCCATACTTTAAGCCATTAATAGTTAGCACTTGGACTATCAATTATACTTTAGAAAGATGAACTAATAGTATGTTTCATTGGATAGGTTTCATTAAGAAGCACCAGGAGAAAAGAAAAGAATGTCATTGTGGAAATGGGAGAGTATCAAAGTCAAACTCTACGTTTTGCTAGCACTGCCTCTGGCTTTGCTAGGCAATACTTTAAAAAAAATTTTTATTGGTACATCACAGTTGTTTTCAACTATATCTCTCCCCATCCCAGATAGCCATCTCTTCAATGAATCAACAGATATCAGGCACTGAAAAACAAAGAAATGGAAAAAAAGAAAGAGAAAAAAAGCAGTTCAGTAAAACTAACTTAGAGTGTGTCTGACAGCCAAACGAAATGCATATGAGCTGTTAAATTTCTGGGACTAAAAGTGGCTTTCTGCACAAAGGTTGTGGAAATATAATCTTATATCTGTAGTAGGAGGGGTGTTTTATAGATTGAAGAATGTTTACTGGCTTTTTACAATAAGAGAGCAATTAAAATTAAATAAATATACTTTTTTATAATTATATTTAGTTTATTTTATTTAAGGCCTTTTGCCTTCATTAGAGGTTTTGCTTCATAATCAAATGAGCATGACTTCTTAATGTGTAATGTAAGACTTTTTCTAAATACAGATAACTTACAATATTGGTAACAACTGTATTCAGCACAGATTGGGCAACATAAATATTAACAACCTATTTCTTGATTTTGCAGCATATCAAATTAATTTGAAGTAGGTATTTATTTAGCTCAGAGGTTTTCCTTCTATAACTGCATATGAAATGAATAGAGAGAAGAGACAGGTTATCAATATGACACCATTAAGTCTCTTGGTAATGTTGGATCGTACAATCTACAAATGAATAATCAAGCATTAATGGCTTTATGTGACATTTTGAAGAATAGTTTTATAAAACGTATTTCATTCAGTTCTCTTTGACAAATTTAGAAAAAATTCTTGTTCAGGTTTCAGTAAAAAACAATTAGGTAGAAATCAAGATTTGAAAATTTGATAATGTGCCTTAAGCTGAATAGTAACAGTGTTGAAAATTTTGCAAAATAATGGTGTTGATTATTTTTAATGAAACATTTGTTATTGATATCTAACAAAAATGGTGGCTTTATACATTTTATTTAGACTTTTTTTTTTATATCAGATGGTAGTAAAGACATTTATGGACATGGATCAGGACTCAGAAGATGAAAAGCAGCAGTATCTCCCTCTAGCCTTGCATCTTGCATCTGAATTCTTCCTCAGGAATCCCAACAAAGATGTCCGTCTTCTTGTAGCATGTTGTTTGGCTGATATTTTCCGAATCTATGCTCCAGAAGCACCATATACTTCCCATGACAAACTCAAGGTAAAATAGTTTTTTAAGAGCTCTTTTCTTTTTGCAATTTGTTACCTATTCTATCCTATGGAATTTATGAGTTTCATATTAACCATTTCATCAAATGAAAATGTATGGCTTACATTCTTTACTAAGAAATATCAAGGCTGATAACTATACCCATAATAGCACTTTTAAAGGGTAATTTGGGGGTGGTTCTGAAAACTGCCTATTTTGTTTAATATTAACAAAATATACCCAATTAAAAAAGTGAAAATGGCAAACTGTGAAGTGACTATAAAGTAATGAGACTGGCATTAAAAAAACAGATTTGTAGAACTCAAAGGTTCTTCCTTTCAAGTACTCACTTTGGAAACTTGATCATTTTAATGATGCTGCTTTCTTGATGTTTTTGGAACTCCTTTTTTGCCTTCAGAGTCTTTGTTACATTCTTTATTTTATCCTCTATAGTGTCAAATCTTTGTTCTTTAAGGGTGGGGAGTGGGTTTGAATTTTTTCGAAGTCCAAGTTATCCAGAACCAAGACTAGTGAATAAGATAGGTGATCAAGCTGGGAAATGCTATTGTTCAAGAACTGATGGAATGCATGTTGTGAGCTTGAGCTTTGTTGTGGTGAAGAAGCCAATTATTGGGTCACAGTTCATCCCTTTTGTGTTGCACAGAATTTTTCATGCTTCAGAATTTCTGCATAATGAACCTGTGTTAGATTTTGTGGGATGAATTTTGTATAAAGAAAGACATTGGTGTCAAGGAAACAAATCACCTGTCTTGTGATTTTGATACGCATGCATGTTTGGAGAAGGGGGGCTCATATGTATACTTTTTGAGGGCTTACAAGAAAATTTGGTGTTTTACACAGCAGACTTTGACACTTGGTTTTTCAGGCACACTAGAAACACCATGTTTAATCCCGAATCAATGATTCCCTCAAAATTTCTCATTATTTTATCCAGCTTCCTTCCCCTGAAAGATAAGAAGTTGTCAAGTCTTCTGTGTTTCAGTTTGTCACTTAAAATGTGTAGTGTGGTCTTTCCAGAAACATTATTTGCATTTAAGTTCTTTCAGTATCAACCTTTTCATATATTTAGTTTTAGTTGTTTGAATGAACAGAACTCTTGACTGTCAACGGTTTAATCAGTCTCGTAGGCAACTAGTGACTTTCAAGAATTATTATAGTCATCTTCCTTACCTTCTTTGAATCTCTTGTGCCAGTTAAAAACTTTTACTCCTGTCATTACTCAGTCTGTGAAAAAAATTTTTTTTCCTTTAACACGTTGAATGTCTCACTTGCAGATTTGTGTAACTTCACTCAAAATTTCTTATTAATTTTTTGATCTAAAATTGGTCACTCATTTTTATGCTGACATGAAACAGCACACACTTATGTTCTTCACAGCTGCTAGCACAAGACTGACTGCTGACCTTGAAATTACTCCTGCTGCAAGTTGAAGCATGTTGCTACATGTCTCTGCTATGATCATTCCTCCTCTGCTTCCACAAGCTACAGAAGAGAATCACTCTCATTACTTTATAGTTACGTCTCGCATGTACAAGACTAAGTACTGAACATGAATGTATGTACAGGCTGAATAGTGGGAAAAATTCCCACACCTGGCTTAATTCTATAGAAATAGTTTCCTGCCTGGCTGGAAGAATGGGATAGTGGGCAGAGAGTTAGGGGTGGTATTTTAGGGGAATATATATGTATTTGTATTTTACACGAAACTGTGCTATGTGGGTTGCCTTGCTCCCCCACAGTCTGAGAACACTTAAAGATGTATGGAAATGAATAGCTGCTTTTACTTTTACAGTCCCATTTCTACAGTTTGCAATATTTTTTGTTTTCACTTATCTGTCCAGTTACACAATACCAAGCTATTTAGCTAAGGAGAAAGTTTTTATTTATTTTATTATAGCCACAACATTAATGATGCAAGGGATAATAACATTGTTTTGGTTTCTTTGTTGATATATTTTATGTTTTTGTGTTGCAGGATATATTTTTATTCATTACAAGACAGTTAAAAGGTTTGGAAGATACGAAGAGTCCACAATTTAATAGATATTTTTACTTATTAGAGGTAAGAACTTAATTAGAAATGGTACTGCTCTTCATATTTATGTAGTTGGGCCAATTAGAAATTAGACCACTGTGAAGGTATAAAATAACTTTCAGTGTATATGACATTCACTTTTTTTCCCAATTTAAATTAATATTTATTAAGCCCTTAAATTTTTTATGTTGATATTCTATTTTATATTACTTTTATTTACTTACATAACCTTTCTTTCTACTCTACCCAATAAACTTTCCTTTGTAATGAAGAATAAAATTTGCGATTTAACAAAACCAACTAATACATTAGTCAATCAGCAACCCCTACTATGTGCTAGGGCAGCCATATATATATACTATCCACACACTCAGAGGTCACCATTTCTGCCAATAAGGGAGGTTCATATTTTCTCAAGTTAAGCCATAATTACACAGCTTTCAATTTTGTCTTTTTGTTCTTTCCGTTTACATCATTGTAGTCATTGTTTGCATTGTTTTCCTAGTTCTGCTTTTGTCATTTTATAATGGTTCTTATAAGTCTTACCATGCTTCTCTTAATTATTCTTATCCATCATTTTTTATAGAATAGCTATATTCCTTTACATTCATGTACCACAGTTTGTTTAGCCAAATTAAAGTTAGTCTTACATGTCCTAGTAACATAAACTATATTCCGTTAGAATTTTTTTAAGTTTTATTGAGAATGAAAGTTTTAAAATTCTTAATTTTTTTATTTTTAAAGTAATTTAACTGAAAGCTCTGTTTGTTCGCATCAAGCAGATCTGTTTAATAATTGGAGAATAGGTATTTAACCTTTCTTCAATACCTTCTGCTTTTTTTGTTTTGTTTTGGTGAAAGTTAATGTTTGGTTTCAGGTGAATGTTTCAAAGGTCAGCTTGCATGCCTATTGTGCTTCTGTAGATTTTAAAAACTTGGTTTTTAATTATTTTAAAAGTAAGTCCAGTAGTATTGATTTAGTAAAATTATTCTCTATATTTGTAATTGAATAATTTTGTTGTTCTAGAATTTAGCTTGGGTTAAATCCTATAACATCTGCTTTGAATTGGAAGATTGCAATGAAATTTTTATTCAACTTTTTAGAACTCTCTTCTCAGTGATCAAGTAAGTTGTTATATATTTTATATGTTGCTTTGTTTAGATTTCCTCCTCCTCATGATTTTTCTTTTTTACTTCCACATACCTTTTATCATCAAGGTTTTTTTGAGAGAAAAAAGAATTATGTTCCGGGAAAATATTTAACAGGGAGAGAGAACCTTCAGCAGAAAGCTGAATAATGGAAATATGTCTTTGGGCTTAACTTGTTTAGTGCATACTTTGTACTCAGAGCTGTACTAATTACTGTGGGAGGCTATAGAAGTAGTTCCTTCCTGAAAAAGATTACAGTATAGTTGTATATAATTGTGCTAAAAAGCATTAGAGTTTTTATTTTAGTGTATGACTCGTATCTTGTACAGTAGATTCTGGATGTTTATGGATTATATTCTAGATTTTTTTCAGGGTTTCCATGAATTGCAGTTATAAAGAAGAAAGAATTGGAGGGGAGAGGCAGAAATTTGATGGGAAAATAGTGTAATAAGCTTGAAGAAGATAGTGGAATAAGCTTAAGAGTCCTCAGTTGAGGACATTTGAATGAGTAGGGTCTGGGGTTTAGAGTTTTCCAAATCAGTCTAAAAAAAGATGAGAATAGGATTTTTAGTTGCACATTGCCTCTGCTTTAGGCAGAATTGGAAATTAGGCAAACTCTTTTTAATACCTCCCACCTCCCTTTTTAAATCTTTCTCCCTTGCTCCCTCATATCCTCCTGTAGTCCAGAATTCCTCACTTCAGTCCAAAATTACATACTCTTCCTTCCCCAAATTAGCCCTATTTTCTTCTTCCTAATCAAAATTCCAATTAAGTTATTATTTCTGTGGCAAAGTATTGACCTGTGTGAAAACAGTAGGTCCCCTTTAACTAGTTTGTTGAGCCAAAGTAGTTTGGCTCCCAACTCCAAGTAAAATACTAAAAATAGCTTTTTAGACAGAATGCTTAGAATATCCACTTTCCCGGGTAACCCATTGTTTCCTCCACACCCACCCCTCCTAGTATCTCTCCCCAGTTCTGTAATAGGCGGACTTCAAGCTACAGAGATTGGTAAAATATCCATCACTAAAATCTAGAGTCAATAAATTCAGATATTTTTATATTGAGTATTAAAATCATCATCTTTTTTGTCAATGAGTTTCCATCTTGTCAACTTTTGATTTTTATGCCCTTGAAAGAGAAAGAGTATAAATAAGAGATTCACGGGCAATTTAAACAGTTAGTAGTGAATTTCAGCTTTTCCTCCTTCAGACCTCATACTATTATGACTACAAGTAGAAACTTATATTTCACTTTTTTCCCCTTTTCCAAACTTCTGACAGCAGTACACAAAGGCAAATGAAGTAATATGGGCAAAAAAATGTAGGCAGCTTTTTCTAATTTGAAGGACATGGATGGAATTGAACAATAAGTTGAGGGATCTTTTAAAAAATGGCAGAGAGAGTGCTGCTAATTATCCTGATCCAACTTTTGTGGCAGCTAACAAGGTGGTAGGTGTAACACCTTTTTTTTTTCCACGTTCCAAAATTCTACAGTCATATTACCAATTGGAGAAGGCAAAGATGAGGGGAGCAGGTATGGAAAGAGATATTTGGTGATATCATGTCGCATTGGTTTGTGACTTTTGGGGCATTGACAGTTCCTAAACTAAGTAAATAAATTGTGCATAATCTTAGCTAAATATTCCTTACTCTTCCTAATTCTCCTTTTGTGAGGAAATATTAACTAATGTATTCAAAAATACTTTGAATGTTCAAAAGGTGTTCTTGATGTGTAAGACATCACTTCTATATTTCATTTTCTTAATGCTAAGATTTGGTACCTCAAGTCACTATCATTTCCTCTTTCAAATTCTTTTGAAATCTCTTTCATGACAAGATTTTTTTTTCTTGGAAAAATACTTCCTTTCTTCTCCTCAGAAATAATTAATAAACAGAAATAAAAATTCCTAAATGTTATTGTTTCTTTCACTTAAAATCTCTTTGTATGTCTTAAATTTTAAAAAAAATTATTGTTAGGGAACTTTTTTTTAAACACAGAATTGATTTGTTAATCCAGCCTTTGGAGGATGGTGCTAGAAATTCTAGTTAATGAAGTTAATTCACATTACTCCTTTTAGTAGTGTGAGTCCTGGCAGTGACTTACAGGTATAAATGGCCATTATTTGTGAGAACCCTATAAGATAGAGTTCTAAATTGGGCAAGGAGGGGGGAAGGAATGACAATGAAAATAAATTAATCTTTTATATAATAACAGAGACAGAGACTCTGAGAGGTTATAAGTTGCTACCAGTCTTATATCTATAATTAAGTGAACTGTCTTCCACATCTGTTGCTTTTCCCATTGTGCTGTGTTGTATCATGTTATTTTGAAGTCTAGTTTAATTGACAAAGAGCAGGTAAGAAGTTTTTGCTATCTGTGGTAAATGTTTAATTTTCAGCATTAATGCAATTATTATTGCATTAGTAACTAATTTCTATTTGATACAGTGCAAATTTGAATCTGGATAGGTCTAATTTTCTGGAAATTCTCAGTATTTCAGTAAAAGTAAAGAAGAAATACAATGGAAGGAATTAGAAAATTAGCTTCCCTTGTCCTGCTTTCTGCCTTAGCAATATTTTTCTTGTCTCCTCACTTTGTGCCATGGATGAATTAAATAAATACTCTTAGAACCCAGATCCAGCCTAAGCAAAGCTGACTTTATGTTCTTTGGTTGATTAGTTCATACTTTGTGGCCTACTTGGGCAAGAAGAGTTTAAATAAATCCTATTTAAACTCGGCTTTCAACTTGAACATGGATTGAGTAAACTAAATTAGAGACCCTCTTTCCTAAGTTACTGCTTCTTTGCAGAATAATAGTCACTTGGTTGAGAAAGTAAGCAGAGCAGTTGAAATCAGAACATCTTGGCCTTACTAATGTATATATAGAGTAGTAAATTGAGAAGTAATAGTATAGCCCTTTTATTCTAATCTTTTTTTTTAATTCTTAGAGGTTATAATCTCTGCATTTAAAATAAAATTTTAATATGATTTATTTTTGTCCTTTTTAGCAATAGCCACAATAAGAAGGTACAAATGCACATGTTGGACTTGATGAGTTCTATCATCATGGAAGGTGATGGAGTAACCCAGGAATTATTGGATTCTATTCTTATTAACCTCATTCCTGCACATAAGGTCAGCATATTATAAAGATATTAATAATGGAGTTTCCTTTCTCCCAAGCTCTATTTTTCCCCCATCCACAAAAAAAGGAAAAGCTACCAGTATTATAAGGCTAACTTGGTGTAACTTAATACCTTATTAATTCCAAATCAACAAGTACTGTGTTTAAATATTTTTTTTCAGAATCAAGAATGCTATCTCTACAGTATCCCAACCTTCTCTGCAGAGAAAATAGTAATTTTAACCCAAATAAAAGAGTTGGTGTTCTTTTTCTTATTAAACTCCAAGATATGGATATACAACTTCACATCTCATGGCACACTTATTTTTGCCTTTTGCTAATATATTTATTTTATGTTCCAGAGTAGTGGAGAGAGCAATAGTATGGTGAGGGTAAGAGGATTAACATAGGAACATGTCATGGCATAGTTCAAAAGTAGGCTAAGTTAGACTTTAACATCCTTCTATCTCTTTTCCTCTTTTTTCCCCCCTCATACAGCTGTACATGGTTATCCTGGGCCCTTGTGATATTGAAAGTTTTGTGACCACATTGTACTCAGGTCTGCCTTCCCTGCAGCAATAAATCAAGAATTTAAAAGTCAGCAGGCTACCTTTCTCTCCCAAAGTTTCATTTCTTTTTTCTTGGTTTTCATTAGTAGGAGGGAAGCATCTGATTGTGTTAGGTGCTATATATCTTTCCTTAACTCTCTCGAAGGTATTAGTATTTTTGTGCTGTGTTTAAAGGCTAGATCTTAGTTTCTTTTCTTCTAAATGTAAGAGGACTTTCAATCTAGCTTCTGATTTTTGAGCCATCTCCAGGAAAATGACAGGAATCTACCTTTATTTGAGGAAGAAAAACTTTTCATTTCATTCCCCTGAAGCATTGAGCTAATTGGATATGTGTTATTCAGGTAATCAAGTCTCTAAAGCTAGTGATAAGTGCTCAACAGTGTCTGAGTATAGTGGGAAGTGGAGTGCTTCTCTTGACCTTGTTCTACGCCATGCTAAGAATCTCAGCAAATTATGGAAAGGGATGTATGTCAGGAGGAACCAACTTTGGGGTCTTCTAAGAGGTACTTTGAGACACAGATTCTTATTTCAGGTATGGATATGAGTTGGTTTTACTCAATAAGTTTTGTTTCAGTGGGTGTAGTCTATTGCTTGTAGATGTTGGATTAGAGAGTGTACAGTTGTCAGTGAAATATACTTTTAAGGGTAATGTAAGACATAGTATATAGAGAGCTGGAAGGGACATTAGAGTTCATATTATACAACCTTATCATTTTACAGAGGAGGAAACTGAGGGCCAAACACATTAAGTGACTTGCTTGACCTGTTTTCACCTGAGACCTAACATTTTAGGAATATTAGCTTCAATATACTTTAACAAGCTAGCACTGCAGCCATTCAGAAGAAAGAAAGAAACCTAGGAGCTTTGAATGAGGTTCTAAGAGGGAGAAAAGTTGAATGTCTAGTCCATTTAATTCCATAGGGAAAGATAAAATGAGCAATTAATGTGGACTAAGAATGGAGGAGCAATTAATCTGTCATAGCAAATGATTTTTAAGCTATGTTTTGTAAAAATGAATGAAATGTCAGTTTGGATGAAAAATATTTTAGTATTCTAGTTTAGTAAATGTAGGAAATAGGTACAATCTATTAATAGTTCAAATGATTTGGCTTTCAGCTCAATAAAAGATTTATATTTGGTTCAAATTGGATTCATGCTTTGGTTTATCAGATTTCTGCATTCAGGTTCATTTGTCCATTTGGATAAAAGGGGGGAGAGCAGAAAGTTAATTTTTTAAATAAGATTCATTTACTTGATTTTGAGTGTATATTTATGCCCCCTAATGTTGTACTTGATATTCTGGTGGATGGAAAGAATGGAATTTTCTTGTGGTGATATTTACTCCAGATCAATAGAAGGTATTTTCCATCAAATTGCATTCATTTTTTCTAATGTGAATCCTTTTCATTCTTTATTTCAGAACCTAAATAAACAAGCATTTGATCTTGCAAAAGTCTTACTGAAAAGAACAGTCCAGATCATTGAGGCATCCATTGCTAATGTATGTATCTGTTTCAACTTTTAATCTATAATTTATAAATTTGAACTTTTAGGGTTTGATCCCTTCTGAGCATCTGAAAAATTGTTCGTACATTTTGCTTTGATAGAAAAAGTGTTTCTTGACAAACACCCAAGCAAACTTTTAACAAAGTAATTTCCTTCGAAAACATTTAGAATATCATTTATTAGGAGAAATGTGGAATGAAGCCTTTAGGTTTATTACAATTGTACCTTCAGTGATGTGAAACAGTTTCTTTGACTAGATTTTTCTTGCCTCTCTATATTGGCTTTGTTTACATTGTTACAGTCAATGTATGTATTGTGCTGTGTTTAAAGGCTGGATCTTAGTTTCTTTTCTTCTAAATGTAAGAGGACCTTAAATCTAGCTTCTGATTTTTGAGCCATCTCCAGGCAAATGACAGGAATCTACCTTTATTTGAGGAGGAAAAACTTTTCATTTCATTCCCCGAAGCATTGAGCTAATTAGATATGTGTTATTCAGGTAATCAAGTCAAAATAATAATTTGGGCTCACTTTCATCCTGCATTACTTTGTAATACTTCTGTGTTTTTGTGAAATTTTCATATTTCAGGTTCCTAGTCTTTCAATAATATTTCATTGCATTTATATACCATGATTTTTTCAGCTCTTCCCGTCACTAGGCAAAATAATTTGTATCCAATTTTTTGTTATTATAAGACTAGTTATGAAATTTGTATTCACATTAGTTTTTTTGATGTCAGCCTCCTTGGTATGAAGAGTTTGGCATCCTTTTCTGTATGATTCAAAATTGTTTTCCAGAAGAGTTGAACCTATCTTCCAACAATGAGTTTTCCCATCTTTCAGCATATTATCCAGCCCGATAGATATGAAGTGATATATTGTTAGAATTTGATCTGAATCACTTAATGCAAAAGTTTTTGCCCACAGGTTGTATCCTTTTTAATCCTATCCATGTTGATTTGATCTGTACAAAAGCCTTCTAATTTTATATAATTGATATTTTTATTTCATATGCTCTGCTCTTCAGATAAAGATTGATCAATAAAGCTCTTCATATTTCCTCCTTTTATAAAACAACAAAAAGTTATTTTTACTTATGTGATTGTGATTACTTTTTTTTTCTTTGATTCAGGGCCATCAATAGAAAAAAAACCATTCTCCACTCTTTATATGTATAAAATTTAACATTTAAGATTTTAAAGCAATTCACTTTCACAAGCTTAAGATCATAGTATTTGCAATAAAATTCATTGTAATGAGTTTCTTGAGATTGAAGTTATATTACATAAAGTATAATAACTTTTCAAAGACAAATACAGTTATGTTGGATATTTGTGGTTTCTTGTTTATATATCACTGTCTTGATCATTTTAGCTGGAAGTTGAGGATAATCTTTATAATGTTATTTCACATTAAAAGTCTACTAACAGGAATGGGAAAAAAAGTCAATTTTTTATAAGGAATTCCAAAAATTTTACAAATTACTCCTTCATATGTAATTTTGTCCACATAAGTATGTTGCCAGAAATCATATTCGTGGTGTCGAGAATTTTTATATTTCCTTTTAACTTTATTTCGAAGATAAAACAGAGATAATATCCTAACTCTTTTTAGTGAATTAGAAAATGAAAAGTGCTTTGGCTACATACTTATTATTATCTTCACTACCTTTTACGTGTTTTAGCCACTGGATCTTTAGTGTGGCATGTTGTGGAGTGATGAAGCAGGAAGTAATGCTTTGGAAGCCTCAAGGGCTAATGTTTTAAGTTCTAGATGTTTGAGATAGGAAGAGATGAGAATTGATAGGAGAACAAAAAAAGTATAAAGGTCTTAGCTTTCCTTTCTTTGTATTTAAATGCAAACTAATACTTTTAAAAATGTTCTTAGATTGTTTCAAGGACGTAGATCAGGAAAAAAAGTTGTAGTTACTCATTATTTAATTTTGTAATACATTCAACAAAGAATTTCTTCTGCTTTAGTAACTTTGTTTTATGGAAACCTTCTTTGTAATGATGATAAACAGTTTTGTGTAATGAGTGTTGAACTTTTGGTCAAGAAGACCTTTTATTTGTGCAAAAAATTCAAATCCTGACACTAATGCTTTAATATGTGACCACATGCAAATCACTAAACCTTTATGGAATACAGGTAACTCTTGATAACTTACCTATAAAAGGGGACATTCTTAAACCAACATAATCATATATCCTTGCCACACCAATGTATATTGTAATCGGATTTTATGTAGACATTGCGTTTTTTTTCCATTTGAGTCAAAATACTTGATGTTTATAGGCTTTGTGAAGGATTTTACTCTAGTATTACATCAGTCAAGTATAATGTTCCATTATATGTTGGAAATTTAAAAACAAAACTGCAATGTTCTGTTACATGGTAGAATGGCAAATTGTCGATTATTAGTAATGTTTTCGTATTTTAGTGTATGTGCTGCCAAAACAAGAACTGCATTGAATGTTTTAATATCACCTTTCCGTAGTTAATTCTCATGTCCACTATCTACTGCATTATTTAAGAAAAGTTTGAAAATTGTGTTGAGATGAGCTAATTTTTTTTTAAACTTTTTTACAGTTTTTCAACCAAGTTCTGGTGTTGGGAAGGTCTTCAGTAAGTGATTTATCAGAACATGTATTTGATCTGATACAGGAGCTTTTTGCCATAGATCCTCATTTATTGCTCTCTGTTATGCCGCAACTTGAATTCAAACTAAAGGTAGGATTGCATAGTTTTCTTGAACCTTTTTTGTAATTAAAAAATAAAAATATGTATATTACACAATTAAGAATGTTTTGTTATAATTATGAAGTAGAACATAAGTTAAAACATGTTACTGGTAAAAATGAATGTCAATAAATTATTCATTCTATTCCTGATTAATGAGATATTAAATAATCTATATGTTTCAAAACAATTGCACAACTGTTATTTATATTCTGTATTTTATAATATATTCATTTCTTTATTATCTGCACCTAGTGGAAAGAACAATGGCAAAAATAAGTATTAAAATAGTGTAGATGTTATTATGGAGTCATCTTTGATGGAGGGTAGGTTTGTTGTAGGATTCTATTCAGTGGGGCTTAGCAACATTAGGCTATTGCTTGGTGCAAGAATCCAGTATTATTTGGTTTGGAGTACATCTTTCCCTCTGCTCTAATCCAGTGGAAAATAGCAATATCTTACAGGTGTATAATGTTTTATAGTTCTTCAAAGCCTTTTATAGACATTATTTTAAGTGTCACTTAGGACACTCCTGTAATGAGTATAGCAAATACTGTGATGTAATCACAGGACCTAAGTTGCATAATTTAGACCAAGGCATTTAAACTGTGTGCTTCAATTTCCTTTATCTGTAAAATGAGGATTATAATACCACTACTTACTTTATAAGGTTGTTGAGATGTTCAAATGAGATAATATATGTAAAGAAACTTGTGTAAAATGCTTTGTAAATGTTTTTATCACCCCCATTTTACAGACTCAAAGAGTAAAGAGAGGTCAGGTTAAGTTATTTGCCCTCAGACATTAGGAGTAAGAATGACATTTCAGATATCCTGACTCCTTCAACAAATGCTAACAGATAGCTACTACTAGATTAGATTGAATTACTTTTAATCTATGCACCTTTGTATATGACTGGTTCTTGGGTTGTTATGAAATGCTTTACTTTGAAGCCTACTGTCATATATCTTCACTGTGCTTCTCTAAGCTTGTTCTTAGGCAGCAGACATTGTGTCAGTGGCACTATATGTGAAGTCTTTCCAGTTTGGTAAAATCTGCATTGCCAGTGCCTTTGGAAAGCCCAGGGTCAGAGGAGGCATCCAAGAAGGAATATGATCAAGGAAAGCACAGAGTAGGCAATAATTTTGTGCTTAAAAGGGTCAGACTCTGAGAGGCGATGTTTAAAGGTTTAATTTTTAAAAATTCATTATTATCTTGTGTCTTGACACAACAGACAGTTGAATTTAGTGTGCATTTATTAAAGGCCTACCATGTGGCCAAAAATACTTCCCACCAAATTTTTGCAAAGTACATTCCCTAAAAGAAGTCACAGAAAGGAGGGGATATGTCCTTGAAATGCAGTTAGGTGATGCAGTGGATAAAGCGCTAAGCCTGGAGAGAGAGGCCTCAGACATTCATTAGCTATGTGATCATGGGCAAGTCACTTTGCCTCCATTTCCTCATCTCTAAAATGGAAGTAATAGTGCCTGCCTCCCAGGGTTGTTCTGAGGGTCAAATGATTGTATAATAATTTTAAAGAGCTTAGCATGGTGCTTGACACATAGTAAGTGCCATATAAATGTTTGGTGGTGGTGGTTGTCGTAGTCATAAACTGTCCATACATGTTTTCTTATGTCTTTGAATTTATGTTTGTTGTTCCTTATAATACAGTAATATTTCCTTGCATTCACATGACATAATCTGTTTGACCATTTGCCTATTCCCAGGCACACATTTTGTTTTCCACTTTGGACATTTATGTCTGTATAGTCTGTTGTTAATAACCTCCTTGGTACACATACCCAAGAGTGATATGTCTGGGTTGGAGGGTGCAAACAATTATAACTTTGCTGGTATAATTTCAAATTGTTTTCACAGTAGCTCAAAAAATTCTGCCACTTCATCAGCAGCAAATAAGCATTCCTTTCTTCCTGTAGCCTCTCAAAGAATGATTTTTCTTATTTTTTAATATCTTTACTAGTTCAGTGGCTGTGAGGTGAGGCAGAATTGCCCTTTAATTTTCATTTCCCTGATGGGAGGGGGAATGAGCATTTATGTAGTGCCCACTATGTACTAGGCACTGTGCAAAGTGCTTTTTACAATTGTCTCATCTTATCCTCATAACAATCATGGGAGGTAAATTATTTTTCCCATTTTAGAGTTGAGGAGACTGAGACAGACAGAAGTTAAGTCACTTGCCCAAGGTCACATAGCCAGTAACTTTCTGAGGCTACATTTGAACTCAGGTCTTCTTGACTCCAGGTCCAGTGCTCTATGTACTATAGTGCCACTTAACTGCACCTAGCAGGAAGAGAGTAGACAAAACTGCAGATAAGGTGCTTCCTTGTTATAAATTAGATTATGAAAATTGTGTGAGAGAGGCATATAAGAGGAATTTTGATCATGTCCACGTGGATAGGCTTTGCGGTACAATTGGAAAAAGAACTAGGCAGTATCAAAGCATTACGATGTTCAAAGGAATTGCAGAAGTCCATACATCTAGGTCTGATTATGAATTTTGATGAATATTTGTGTCAACTGCATGTAGATGTTGTATGTCAGACTTTATATCAGAACAGTTTGACAAGATCTCTCAGCCTTCAAATTTATTCCAATTCTGATTTTTAAAATTTTTCTGTAATTGAGATTGTCTTTTTTATTTTATCATCTATTTTGTCCTTTGGTTATGAATTTCCTCTTAGACATATTATGAAAGAAAAAAGCTTTCAATCTCTTCTAATTTGGGGTTATGGTTTTCTCATATTAACATCTTTTATATACTTGGAATTTTTTGAGGAATAAGTTTTCACAGGTTGATCTAAACTTATTCTTGTTAGAGTGCTTTTCAGTTTTCCCATTGGGATTTTTTTTTAAATTAAAAAGGCCTTGCCTTTGTAGCTTTTAGTCTTAATTTTACAACACTATACTGTTTTGTCCATCTCTTTTGAGGACTTGGTTTTCTAGGCCATTCTACTGATCTACTTTTTTTTAAAAAAAAAAGTCAGTAGAGGTAGTTTGATAATTACTGCTTTGTTAGAATAGTTTGAAATCAGTTTTATTATTTAGTAATGTGAATGTTTTAACAAAATAAGCATCAAAAAAAATTATCATGTTGCCTAAAAGTAGCCATATAGCATAACTCTCACAACCACAGGTTTTTTTCTATCTCTATTATTTCAGATTTTTTAGGAGCCTGTGCCTCACATTTATTAAGCAGAAACTTCTCTGTTCTTTAGAGGATAAAGATGGTTCAACACTAAGAAAATAATCAACATGATTATATTATTCAAACATCCAAAACCACATGGTTATCTCAATAGGTGGAGACAGAGTCTTTGGCAAAGTAAAGTCACTTATGCTTTAAAACAAACAAAAACCTTGCAAAGTATTGCAGAAGAGGGGCCTTTTTTTTTAATATCGTAAAAGATGATATCCCAAATCAAAAGTAAGGTTCAATGAATTCAGTGGAGATACACAAGAAGCTTTCACGTTAAATATACTTGTACAGCACAGATGCACACTTCTCTCAAAGTACAGAAGTAAAGCAAGGCTGCCCACTTTACGCCTGTTATTTCACATAGTTCTAGAAATGCTAGAAATAAGACAAAAGAAAGAAATACAGGCATTAAAAAAAAGCCAAAGGTATGTATAACCAGAGGCTTCTAGGTGGTTCAGTGGATAGAACGCTGGGCGTATAGTCAGGAAAACTTGAGTTCTAATTTAGCTTGACCTCAACTTAGGAAAATCTGAGTTCAAATTAGCCATGTGAACTTGTGCAAATCACTTAACTTATTTCTGCCTCAGTTTTCCTCACCTGTAAAACAAGGGATACTAGTAGCACCAACCTCACAGGATTGTTGTGAGGATCAAATAAGATAGTATTTATAAAATGCTTAGCACAGTTCCTGGCATACATAGTAAGTGCTTAATAAATGCTTTTTTCCCCCCTTTCCCTTTCCTTGTTTATAGATGACTAGAATGTCCTAGGGAATGAGCAAAGATACTAGTTGAAAAAAATCAATAGCTAGAGTAAAGTTGTAACCTGCAAAATAAATCCACAAAACCCTGCAGCATTTCATAGAATACTAATACCAAGAAGCAGTAATAGAAAGGGAAATCTTATTCAAAGTAAATACAAAATGCATAAAATATTTGGAGATTAGTCTGCCAGAGTACATGAAATGCTTGTATAGATTCAGTTACAAATTATACTTTCAGGAAACAACAAATTAAATAGCAGGAGGAATCTGCAGTGCTGATGACTGGGCCAGGTCAATATAATTAAAATGACAGTTCTACTAAAGTTTGATCTACAGGTTTGATGTTATAGTAATCAGACTATCAAAAGGATACTTTACAGAACTTGATAAAATAGCTGCAAAATTCATTTAGAAAACCAAAATATCTAAAATATCAGAGGAAAATGAAAAAAGGATAGGAAGAAAGGGAGAATAGTCCTTCTAGTCATCAAAACCATTTGGTATTGATGTAAAAACACAGACATATATGAATGGAACAAGCTACAGGGTGGACTGAAAAAGAGGATTTGTGCCCTGAGGTAGTGTTCCTAGGTAGGGGGGTCTCTGGGCTGAAAGGAGGAAGTTCGGAAGCAAGCAGCAGAAATGTAGCTCAGACCCCCACGAGCAGAGCTGGGTCTCAGTTCCAGCATGTAGCCCAGCCTGCAGAAGAATAATCAGAGCAGGAATCTCAGATTAAAGGGGAGCCTACAGTTCTATCTCTGAACCAGCAAACATTTCCACCTGGCTCATAAAGGCTGAGTCTAGCAGTATTCTTCTGTTACTAAGACTGAAACCCAGGTAGAGAACTCACCTACAGCTCAGACCAGGGCCATTGGTTAGACCACTTTGATAGCACTGAAATTTGTAGATCCCTAGCCTGAGTGCTATCTCTACAAGCCTGGAATAACACAGACTAAGTATCCTAAGAAGTAGGGCAACTAGGTGGTGCAGTGGATAGAGTGTCAGGCCTCA